TGATCAGAACTCCTATTCTGCCTGAAACTGAACGACAGATATCCAATAATGCAACTACACAATCCTAAGCGATTTGATCAGTAACCTTTAGAAAAAATCCAAGGGGCTTTTAGCATTATGCTCAATTCATGAATTACTGAGCAAGATTACCATAGTAACAGTTTCCAATCTGAAAGAGAAGGATAACCAATTGCAAGTAATAGGATCAGCTAAACATTATAGTATTCGACATTCAAACTTTGGAGAGAGGGGGGTACAAAGTTTATGAAATATAAATACTGAAAAATATGATCAAATTCAACCTCCTATTCAATGATCGTGCTTTCAAACTGAAAACAGAATTCATTTAATAAGTTCTGATGATACTTAGTAACGACGGCTACTGCTCACAAATCACTACCAACTAACCTGAAACACATATTACATTCTCTTGCGAATGGAGCAGAAGCCACACAACTCTAGTATTGCCCATCTAAATCTACTAAACATAAAGGCCGGGTGCATTCATTTCAGCAAACACAAGTTCCTCTAAGAAAAAACTTCAGAAATACTTTCTTTATACACTCACACTAGTTCATATGATTTATCCCCATGGAATAATTAAAAAAGCCATCAATGAACTCGAGCAATAGCCAACGAAACCAATGAGAGGTTGGATAAAGTTACCATAACAGATTCTCCAATCTCCAAGCACTTGATAGCCTCGGACTGAAAGGGGTCCAGAGAGAAAGGGAACACCTTAGCCGGTTCCAACTTCTCTCCAGTGGAAGAGAGATTTATTGATGGGAGAGGATTATAAGAACCCTCGGGGTAGGACACATCATGGACACACGCAACTGGTTCGTCCTCAACCATGACAGATTCATTGGTTCTGTGGTGCTTCGGTGAAGATTCTCTGGGCGTATCTTCGACCACTTTTCTCTTCGAAGAGCCCATGGCAGCTTCAATTGAGCACGGCGGATCAAGCCCACTCAAGAATCTGCAGCAAAAACTCTGTTAATTCTCGTTTGTAGAACCATAAACGGAGCTTGTAAGCAAATTGGCGAGCAGGATCTTCGAAAACTCACAGCACACTCTCTCAAAGATTTCTCTTTCTGAATAAACCCTAAGAAATAGGTGCGCCGAGACGCCTGAAATCGGCGCGCGAATTTGCTAACGGGAAAGTTTGCTTATATCAATAAAACAATATTTATGTAATTTCACATACAATAATTTTATTACGTTAATTAATTTAATAAAAATAAACTAACAACAATTAATTAATTAAAAGTTAAATTATTAAGATCATATTAATCAATTTAATTTTTGTTTATGCCTTATTATTATTATAGCTTATTTAGTGAATAATCTTAATTTAATACAATTATATAAGCTTCTAAATTTAAATAGTTAGAACAATTATCGAATTAAAAAATTAATTATATAATTTAATAAAAATATCTTTAAATTTTATATTTTGTTTCAAAAATATCTCTAAATTTTTTAAAGTTTTAGAAATAAAAAAAATGAACTTTAAAAATGTTTTTGATTTTTTGTTTAATTTAAAAGTATTTTTGAAATTTTTGAAATATTTTTTTGACAAAATAAAAGGTTTAATATTTTTATTAATTTAATTTTCAGGGATAACATTCATTTAATAATTTTTTCAAAATTAATTAAGCAGTTGTTTTAATAAATTATTATTGGTTTATTAAATTAAATAAATTTTTATGTTGATTTTGTTAAATAAATATTAATGAGTTAATTAATTATTTAACTATATTTAAAATAGTTTTATATACCATTATAAGGAAAGGGAAGAGGGGACAAATATAAATTTAAATTTTACGATTTTAAAAGCGGTTATTAGAGAGAGATTTTCATGTCCCTAAAAAGAATGTTTTGTTCTCCTCTTTAATCAACGTGGGTCAACGTGGGACCTCACAATAAACACGTTTACTATGGAAATGGTTTAACTTTACTTCGACTAGTGTCTCGCACCGTCCAGTGATGGATTTTGATACTATTTGTAATTGTCCAAGTCTGCCGCTAGTAAATATTGTCCGTTTCAACCCGTTACGTATCGTCGTTAACCTCACAATTATAAAACGCGTCTAGGGGAGAGGTTTTCACATATTTATAAGAAATGTTTCGTTCTTCTCTCCCATCAATCTAAGGTCTCACAATGGGTAATCAAAACCTTTATAAACGAGAAAAAGAAATTTGTTAACAAACATAAAACAAAACCTCCCGTTAAATAGGTCCAAAAATAATTTTTTCAAAGGAATCCAAAATATCGATGGAAAATTAAAATCCTTTCATTTGTGTTAGCATTTGAATATATCATGGACGAGTAGGATTGAGTTGGATAGTGAAATAATTTAACTCAACTCATGTAGAATCCTACTCACGCGGGTGAATCTATGTTAGGTTAATATCACATCAACTTTATTTGAACTTTTAAGATCCTATGGCCCATTTTGCAAGTTCTTTGAGTCTGGACGTTTAATATCTACCTAAGAAGTACGATTTATTGTCAATGAAATATTAGGTAGATTGAAAACAACCACTAGAAAACCTCACGTCTTCGTGTTATTCTAATATGATATAAGATGACCGACTAAAAACCTACAAATAAGATATTTATCGAGTATTTTATTCTCATTCATGTTATTCGTCTTTTACAAAAGAAACCTTAACTATTCAGCATGAGTAGCAGAACTATAAGAGTCTAGACACATCAGCTAAATAAGGTAATTATTTTAATTTCAATAGTCAAATTTAAATTATTTTAATTTTAATAGTCAAACTTAAATTATTTAAATGGTAAATTTTAATTATTTTAATTTCAATAGTCAAACTTAAATCAAAATGGTAAATTTTTTCAACTGAACTCAAGTCAAACTATAAAATTTTTGGGTTAAATTATTTCGAATGTTCGAGTCATTATTCATATTTTTGTTTTAAATAAAGTAAAATGTTTGTAGCTAAAATATTTATTTATTTATTTATTTTCAAACTTTTAGAATTAATGTCAAATATTATTTTAAAAAAGTTATTTTTTTTTAGAGTTGTTACAAATAAATAATAAAAAATAATAATTATGGGATTAAATAAAAATAAAATAAATATATCCATATAATTGAAAACTATTTTGAATATTTAAAAAAAATGCTATAATGGTAGTTTTTATTAATACAAAATCTATTTATAATTGGTATCCACTAAATTGTATTTGGAAACTGACAACAAATTCCAAATTTCTTATTTATTTATTTATTTATTTATTTATGGAATGTCGGTTGCTAGAATATTAAAAAATCTTTAAATTATTCTTTATTTAACTTAGTGCTACCTTTTACAAATAAATAAATAAAATATGTATTCTTTTTTTATTTTTAAATGGTAGAAACATGTTTCATAAAAATATTATTATTTAACCAAATTTAATTAGAAAACTATTCTATAAATGGTTGATATTTTATATAAATGACTTTATTTTATGTACAACTCTGGTCTAAATAATACATATATTTAATAAATTAGGCTCCATAACCTAATAATTATCCTATATGGAGAGTAATTAATCGGTCGGTCAACTTTTATTTCATTTATTGTCATTGTTATCGGTATCTTCATTGCACCATACCAACTAAGATTTTGCAGATCCTCAATTTTTCAACATCAAACACATTTTGTCACCATGTTTGTCTTTAAATAGGTCTCACCTTCTTCCATTGACTTCCGATGTGTTTTGTCTTTTAGCGATAGATCGGGATTTTCACCAAGTATATGACACTTTGACTATTTGTATAAAAAATCTTATTTCCAGTTTCGGCTATTACCATATACTCGGTCTCTAAAGATGAAAGGGCAACACACTTATGAAGCCTAAATATCTCGATCATTGTTCTCCCATCAATAGTGTAGGTATATTCAAACATGTTGTTACTATAGTCGACGATCCACTAAAATTAACATTCACAAACTCCTAACCACAAAAGCGTATGGAAATAATGTCATGTGCTCACGCTCCTCAATTGTCTTGGGAGATTGCTCCTGTGACAAGTTAACCCGATTTGTCAAAAAAACAGTCCTAGTTTTAGCATTATTCATCATGAATTTGTGCAATATCTTCTCAATATACTGCTTCTATTATAGATTTGATGTATCAACAAATATATCTTGAGAAATCCTTATCTCAAGAATCTGATTCACTGCACCCAAATCTTTCATCTCAAATAATGAAAACATGATTGCCTTCAAATGATTTATCTCCCTAATATAAGAGTAAAAACACATATGAATCAACGTATTTCTTGAAATAACAACAACGATCATCTTCACTCCTGAAATCAGTCTCCACATGAAAGAATCAAACTGTTTATTACCATTGTGTCGATGTTTGTTTCAATCCCATGTGCTTCTTACTTAAAATTACAAACACGTCTAGTTAGATCTCTACCCATCCAAATTTTTCAGAGGCAAAAGACCCTCAACAAAATTTGGATAATAGTTAATTTCAAGGAAAAAAAAAAAAATCAATTTGCTTACATTAGGTTGGGTTCAATAAAAGAAAAGTTTTATATTTTTAGTTAATTGATGAATTATTCTAAAAATGGTTTATCAAACTGAATTTAATTTTAATATAAAAATAAAAAATTATATATATATAGTTGAATATGAACGAATTTATAAGGAGTAATTAAATATTTCTTAATCCAGTGTTATACAAACTACAAACTCATTGTATAATATTTTTTGGTCAGTCTTATATAAATTACAACATTCTATAATATTTTCTGGTCAGTCTTATATAAATTACAAATTCATTATATATATGATACCTTATTTACATGAACAATTTGGATTAAATCATTTGAAACTATTACAAAGTTGGTTGTATCAACAGTGAACCTTACCTGTATAAGGTAGTCAATTTATATAGATCCTCTTGTATGATATATATATATACCTATATATATATAAAAGGTAGTCAATTTATATAGAGAAGCCTCTGGTATGATATATATATATAGCCAAACTTTATTTAAAGCATCTCATCACGTCTCCAAGAACCCCAAACTTGTGGTTACAAAACCATGAAAGCCCATCATTTCCTTCTCGTGTGTTTCCCCGTCCATGGCCACATAAACCCATCCCTCGAGCTAGCCCATCGACTCACGAACTTAGGCCATCACGTCACCTTCGCCACCACCATCGCCGCAACTCGGCGCCTGACCAACACAACCACCCCGCATCCCTTACTCACCTTCGCCCCTTTCTCCGACGGCTTCGACCACGAAACCCTCAATCCCAACCGCACCTTCCCCCAATTATTCTCCGACTTCAAGCACCACGGCTCCCAATCCCTAACAAAACTCATCACTTCCCACAATGAGCAAACCCCCTCAAATCCCTTCACTTTTGTCATCTATTCCCTTCTGTTCCATTGGGTGGCGGATGTCGCCGCTGCTCTCAACACCCCATCGGCGCTTCTCTTCGTCCAACCAGCAACACTCTTAGCTTTGTATTACCATTACTTCCATGGCTATGGCGATACCATTCCGAATCAAAAATTGCCGGGGTTGCCGCTGCTGACCGAGAAGGACATGCCGTCGTTGTTGTCCCCGACAAGCCCTCACTCTGCAATTCTCCCTTTTCTCAAACAACAAATCGAACTCCTCGACCAAAAAAGCCAATCCAAAGTACTCATAAACTCATTTGATGCGCTCGAGGAACAAACCGTGAAGGCCATCGATGGGTTGAAAATGATACCAATTGGACCGTTGATTTCAATTGGTAAATCAAATGGGAAAAACGGGTCCAACCCATTATTTGAAAGTGAAAATTACATGGAATGGTTGAATTCCAAGGCGAAATCGTCGGTGGTTTATGTTTCATTTGGGTCAGTGTCGGTGTTGCAGAGTAAACAAGCAGAGGAAATCATGAAAGCTTTAAGTGGGCATACGTTTTTATGGGTAAAAATTGATGAAGAAGCACAAGATAAGGAGAATGGGAAAATCGTGCGATGGTGTCGTCAAGATGAAGTGTTGAATCATCCCTCGGTGGGTTGTTTTATGAGCCATTGTGGGTGGAATTCGACGATTGAAGGCATGGCGGTGGGGGTGCCGTTGGTGGCTTTTCCGCTGCAAATTGATCAAGCAACTAATGCGAAGCTTGTGGAAGATGTGTGGAAGATCGGGGTGAGAGTGGCGGCTAACTCGGAGGGGTTTGTTGAGAGGGAGGAGATTAAGCGGTGCTTGGATTTGATTATGGGGAGTGAAGGTAATGAACGAAGGGATGAGATTGTGGGAAATGCCAAGAAATGGAAGGATTTGGCTACAAAAGCCATTGGTCAACATGGTTCCTCCACCTTCAATCTTAAAGCTTTTGTTGAAGACATTGATAATAGTGATTGAAATGTCTCCAAATCTCTGTTATTAGTATCTTTTATCACAAATGTTATTGCATAAGAAATATTTTGATTTCCCAAGTTCAATAATTATTTGGTTGAATATGGTGGAATAAATATATTATAAAATTATAAGTAGTGGGATTGAAAGCTTAATCTTCATTAATGTTGTCGTGATATTATTGGTAGATTTAGTACGAGATTATAGATTTAGGGTTTATACTAAATCTTATTGATATACTAAAGCCGTTTATACTTAAAGTGAACAATATCATACAATTGTAGAGATTTGTGACTCCTAACCTAGATGATATGATTGCATATAATTAATTAGTATTTTTTATAATACAATTTCGATTTAAATATGTTATCTTAGAGCACGAAGAAATATACATTATTGTCGGCCTTTATATTTTAGCATTTTTTTTAATAAAAAAATTAATCCAATTGAATCATTAAAATTTAATTTCTCCCACCAAATTATGGACAAGTCATTCATGAGATTTGAATGAGGTATTGAATTTAGAGCTACCAATTGGGCCAAGTACCTTCCAATTTAAGGCTATGGTTGATTATGAAAGATGGATGCTTGTATGGTCAATAAATAATAGGTTAGTACACCAAAGGTCGACCCATGTGGGCCAACCTCATCTGTGCACATGAGGTTTGAGACTTTCCTTCGAGTTTTGGCCCTGACTTAGATCTAACAAGTGCCCCACTCTCGATCTAAGTCTTACAAATCTAGTGTCGTGTTCTTCAATTAGCTGCTTAATCGTGTTGAGGGTTGTTGGGAGGAGTCTCACATTTGTTAATTTAGTGGAAATCATGAGTTTATAAGTGAGGAATACTATCCAAGCCTCATTCTCGATCTAGGCCCTACAAATCTTTCAATTAGCTCCTTAATCGTGTTGAGGATTGTTGGGAGTGAGTCCCACATTGGTTAATTTAGTGGAAAATCATGAGTTTATAAATGAGGAATACTATCTCTTGGAGTTTTGGCCTTGATCTGGCCCTATCTTGTGTCGTGTTCTTCAATTAGCTGCTTAATCGTGTTGAAAATTGTTGAAGTAAGTCCCACATTGATTAATTTAGTGGAAGATCATGAGTTTATAAGTGAAGAATACTGCTTCTATTTGGTATTGGTACGAGACCTTTTGGAAAAATCTAAAGCAAAACAACCCGAGCTTCCCGCCAATTAAATCAGTTGGGCTTGAGCACAGGCCTGGATTTCTTTATAGCCCGGCCCAATAATGAGTCATGAATTTCCCGCCAATTAAAGTAATGCAGCGCGGTTTCACCCTAAGCTTCCCGCCATTTTCTCTTGTTCCCGCTCTCCCTCCTTCCCTCTCCAGTACGCTATCATCGCCCATCGATTCCAAGTTTTATCGGTAGAACCCTCCATGGAATCAAAGCTTCGTGCTATGGCTTCCAAACGTTCCTCCATTGTTTATCAACCTCGAGCTCTACAAGCTGGATTCCTCCACTTACCTCGCAAAAAACCTAAGATGCTGCCGCTATCGCAGTCGAATGAACTTGCTTCGAAAGATGGGGATGGGGTTTCAGATTTTGTTGCGAAGGATCTACGCTTAAAGCGAGTATTCTCCCCCAATCTAGAGAACCGCTCCTCGGTGACATCCGGAGAGCTGATTAGCGACAAAGAAGGACCGATGACCGCGAATGGAACTTGTCTGAATGAAGATAGTGGAGTCGGTAAAATCTCCGAGATTACAGAGGTACGGAACGAGAACTTTTGCAATTCTAATCGGTATGCTGAATGCGATGAGGTTCGGAAATGTAATGGGACGAGTGGAGAACAGATTCATTCGACACCTCCTGATGTGGAGTTTCTAGCTGGGGGTTTTGTGGCGGCTTCTTCACATGGATGTCCTCGATCAAGTAATGGAGGTGTCATAGGGGATAATTGTGCGAAAGCTGACTGTAGAATTGACTCTGTTACTAGAACTGGATCGGTAAATATCTAGTTAAGTTGAATATTTCACCATTAGCTGGATTTTATTTTCTTGTGCATTGATTTCTTGCAAATGTTATCCTGTTGTGTCTTTGATAGGCGTCATGGGATTATAATTACAACTGTGTATACTAATGCCACTTGCATACTTATTGATATTCTCTTGTTTATGGTGGTCTAATTTGGGTCTTGTAATTATGAATTAGGTGCTCAAACCATGTTCTAAACGGAAGTTATTCAAAGCACCTGGCTCTATTGCCTACAAAAGAATGCTACCTTTCTTACTGGATAGCGATAATTGTAAGTTCTGTGCCCGTTATGTTCTTTACTGTCTATCCAGGTTTGTTTTTTAGGACTAACTTATTTTTATTGCTAATGTACTACAGTCACCCTACTAAGTGATCCATACTTAAAACGTGAGAACAATTTGGAGAAGAAGGAAAATATTGAATCTAATTTGTGTAATCCTGCCAATGGTTCATCTTTCGTTGATTCAGATACTTGTGTAAAGAATGCAGTTTTTGCCTCCGGGAATGCATGTAAGACTATGAAACTAGATTTACCACCTCCTGATAATGGAGATACTAAAGAGTTTCAGAATGGCAGTGATTTAAGCAGTGACCCGACTTTAGTTGAAGAGGGTTCTTTTTTGAAAAAGGATAATGTAGTTTGTGCATCTTTTATTGACGAAAGACCGACAAAGTATGACATAGAGGATCGATCTTCTAGAGAACAATCCAAAACCTCCGGAATGGAGAGGCTTGATGGTGGGAATTATGCTATATCAGAAGCAGAAAACTTTAAGTCCCATGTTTCCGAGAAGTTGTGTAACAATATTTCTGAGGATGTCAATAGAGAAGATCATTTCAATGAAGAACTCAAGATGTCATTACTGGATTCTAACATCGGTTGTAACCCAGTGAAGGAAGAAAGAAGGGATGAAAAAGTGGGATGTACTCGAGGCGCAGACGAAAAACTTGGTAGTTCTACTGTTGGCGAAAATCATTGCAACATTGCTACAGAGAGTGACAAGAAATATGGCACCTATGTTAGAAATAAAATGGTGAGATACATATAATGGTTTTACTTGTTTGCTCCTCTGCTACCTCTAAAAGTTCTGCATGATTACTTTTGGCGAGTGCACATTATTTATTATGAATGTTCTACAGCTTTGGGGAGTGACATCCAATTTGATCGTCAAAATGTGATTGTTTTATATTTTGTGTATTGCTACTAATACAATCAACAACTTATTAGGTTCGCAACCCACTTGAACAACTGAAGTTGAACTACAGCCAAGCTTCTGTTAGCTATCGAAGGATGCTTCCATTCCTTGAGGATCTTTTCAAAGACAATCCAGATAACTGTACGCATCCACTCCCGCCAATGATAATCTTCCTTCCATATAGCCATGCTTCTTGATGATGTTAAAGATTAGTTTTTATTTATTTATTTACATTTTCAGGTGCCTCGGGAAATATCAACTGTCCAAGACCAGAGAAAGAATTGCCAACTATGAATTTGGATCCACCGAGTTCAAATTCTCACAATTCCCAGGATAAATCAGAATTCTTGGTATCTTGCAACATGCCATGCGATGGAAATTCAGATGCTCTCTCAATGCCTCTGTCGAATAGTATTAACGACGTGGTTTGTGAAGCAGATGAAGTTTTAATGCCTGCTGGAGTCAATGATATACTTCTATCACCACCAATATCACCACCAAAATTACTGCTGCACTCTGATCTGGAGATGTTGGAGAAATGTAAATTGAAAATGGACCCTCAATTAAATGATCAAGCAGTCTCGTCATCATATCTTGCTACGAGTTATGAACCTCTGACTGGAGAAGGATCCAGAATGACCTCCAAACAATCTCCAAATACTTCAGAAGACTGCACGAATTTGACAGAATATGTTTCTGATGGTACTAAACTCACTGAGAGGAACAGCTTAAAACCTGTAGAAGCATGTATTCTGCCAGAAAATCACATCAACATTAGAAAGGGAATTCTTAAACGGAACCGACGAGGATGCAGAGGAATCTGCAATTGTTTGAACTGTTCCTCTTTTCGTCTCCATGCTGAAAGAGCATTTGAATTTTCTAGAAATCAACTGCAAGATGCTGAAGAAGTTGCTTCAGATTTGATGAAAGAATTGTTGCTTCTCCGTGGTGTCCTAGAAAAGTATGCTGATAGTACAAAAGAAGGGGATGCTGGATATCATTCAAATAAGGTATGTGCATAAACTAGATATTGATCTTTCCTATGCCTGTTCTGTTAAACTTGGCTTGGTTTAAGCTTCTGCTGTGTTTTTGTATTACATGCTAATATTGATGGGCAGTCATTTTATTCCAAACTTCAGTGTTCATTTGAGCAATGGTGTGCTACTTTAATACGCACATTATACTGGCAAGTATCATCTTAAGATAATAATTGATTCTAATAATTTAAGTTGCTCTCTTTTAAGCTTGCTTACATACTCCTGTAATAACCTTGACCTTGAAATATCTATGCTCTATTTCACACTTCTACAGGTGAAAGAAGCTTGTAGGAAAGCATCTGAAGCAGAGCTAATTGCAAAAGACCGCCTTCTACAAATGAACTATGAACTTGGCATTCATTGCAGAATCACGGTACTCCATTTAAAAGTTGGAAGTTTTTCTCTCATCAATGTCAATCCTTTAAAGATTATCTTTTGCTTTAGTCACTGAAAGCTCATTTATCTTCGACAGTGCTCCCAACGACCAAATGTTAGATTCTCTAGTGAAGTTGAGAGAATAGAGATTGAAGATGGCAAATAGACCAAGACGACAAAGACTCCGAATCTGGTTACCGCTTATGTAAGGCTGGGATTTCATATAGATGAAACGGATGGTCTTTCATTCCATTTGGGATGCTCAAGGCATTTATTTGCATCACTTGGTGAAAGAGCTTCATTGTAGTCGACTTCGACCTCGTGGGAAAATGTAGCAAGTTTAAAGACTCCGAATGGTGTAGATTATTGGGTGTAGCTGTATATAAACTCAACTTATGGGTATCTTCCCTTCGGCTAAAATGGATTATTATATGTTTGGAAGAGCTTAGTTGAATTGAAGAATGAGGGGTTTAAT